CACTGTGTCAGTCACCACTTCTTATTTCATCCTGTTTTTGTTGATATTTGTTTGGAACCTACAGAGCAGAAAACAAACAGCAGGTCATAATGTGACAAACCTGTTGTTTTTAAAGCCTGACCACCTCGGTGGACGCAGTGGTGGCCATTTGCGTCATCTTTGCCATGTCCTTCATCCCGGCCAGCTTCGTCCTCTACCTCATCCAGGAGCGGGCCACCCAGGCCAAGCACCTGCAGTTTGTCAGTGGAGTCAGTCCTCTGGTGTATTGGACRGCCAACTTCCTGTGGGACATGGTACTGCCACCCCGTTTGGACYGTGCTGGTTGGATGTAGGGTGGTATAATCATAGCTCTTGGTTATCTGGGCCTTCCTCCAGGTGAATTACTCCATCAGTGCAGCCATGGTGGTGAAAACCTTCACGTTCTTTGAGAAGAAATGTTACACCTCACCAACCAACCTGCAGCCACTTATTGCCCTGCTGATGCTTTACGGGTGAGTTACAATCATCCAGACGATGCAAACCAAACACTTTGTTACAAAACAGGATTATTAATCATTAGGTAAACTGAAACGTGAACAGTTCACGTCAGGAACTATTGTTCCTGCTGATTTCTGTCTCAGCTGGTCAGTGACACCGATGATGTACCCCATGTCCTACGTCTTCAGCGTCCCCAGCACCGCCTACATCTCTCTCTCGTGCATCAACCTGTTTATCGGCATCAACAGCAGCGCCGTCACCTTCATCCTGGACCTYTTTGAGAGCACCACAGTACGTCCTGGCAGGTGTTTTAACTGTTTTAATCCATGTTTTTCCTCTGTTGTTAAGAGTTTTTACCTTCTTATCCAGGTGTTGTACAGGTTCAACCAGATGTTAAAGACGGCGCTGCTCATCTTTCCTCATTACTGCCTGGGCAGGGGGCTGATCGACATGGCTGTGAACCAGGCTGTGACGGATGTTTACGCTCGCTTTGGTAACCATGAAACTCACCCAGGGTCACTCCAGCTTCCACCTGCAACTGCTGAGTCATTCATTGTTCATGTCAGACAGAAGCAAAAATACATTTTTTAAAAAAAATCTTTCCCCRAAGGTGAGGATCACAGCCCAGACCCCTTCCACTGGGACTTCATTGGGAAGAACCTGTTCTGCATGGCAGCTGAGGGGTTTCTCTATTTTATCCTCAACATATTTTTTCAGTATCGCTTCTTCCTGGATCACTGGCAAGTATAACTGACACAATCTCAGATTTTAATAAAGCTTTCATGTTAACTGAAGGTTGATTGGCTAAGGTTTTTATTTTCAGGATTCCAGATGGCCCAAAACCTCACATGTTGGACYAGGACAAAGACGTGGCCGAGGAAAGAGAGAGGATCCTCAGGAACSAACAAACAAATGATATTTTACGCATCAAAGGCCTGACCAAGGTCAGACAGGTTCCTTCAGTGTCATGAAGTTTGGACAATAAAACAAACAAAGAGATTTAATTTACATTTTTTTTTAATCCTGGCAGACATACAGGGGGACATTTGTCCCTGCAGTGGACCGGATCTGTGTTGGAGTCTCACCTGGAGAGGTTAGTCCAGGTTTGGGGAAGTTCTTCAGCAGAGAAGACGGTTTGATGGTTTTTGTTGTCCTCTGCAGTGTTTCGGTCTTGTGGGGGTAAACGGAGCAGGAAAGACCACAACATTTAAGATGCTGACCGGAGACATCGACGTGACGTCAGGAGAGGCGATGGTCTCTGGTTACAGGTTCAGGATTTAAATYTGTTCATCTCAATATTAAGCTTAATAATAAATAAATGAATYAATGCAGTGTGAAAGCTAAAAGCTGAAAGATTTTTCCTCAAAGCTACCGAAGAAGCTGAAAATGTTTAATAATACAACTGTTAATATGAGTTGAATTGAACAGTTGACTGAGGTTGAAATTAGCAGACAGACGCTGAATAAAGAGTAAAAAAGTCAGAAAAACAAGAAAAATGCGAAAAAGTTATAATGTGTTGCCAAATAGCCGAAGTAGCCTTAATTATCATAAAAATTGCTAAAATGTAGCTGAAAAGCTGCAATTGGCACAAAGATGCAAAAAGAACACATCACACAAAAAAGTGAATTTAGATTTAAAAAATCTAAAAAATAGGTACACAGTTACTAAAAATGCAAAAACAGCTGAAATTGAAAAAAAAATAAGCTAAAAGAATCTTCTATCAGAAGCTGATAGCAGCCTACATTTTTTAATTTACAGAATAGCTGAAAAAGCACAAGAAGCCATGATTTAAAAAGTAGAAAGAAGTTGTAAAAGAGCAGAACCAGGATAAATGTAAAAAGTACAGGAAAGATTTATCAATATTTTGAAGGGTTTTAAGGATYTTGATGATAACTTCATTCAGTTTAAATGAGGAAAAAATGGCAGAAAAAAGCTAAATAGCTGAAAAAGTACAAGTAACTGAAATACCAAAAGTCATAGCACCCATGGTATAAATTAGCTGAACTTTTTGATATGAATTGTTGAAAGAGAAGAAATGTGGAATGAGATGTGCTGAAAAATGTATTGAAGAAAAATATAGATCATCTCAATAATCTTGAKTTAACTTGATAAACATTCACACAATTCCTGCTAGAGTTAGAAATTTMAGATTCAAGCCTAATGAGCCTTATCTTATCTCAGGTGGTGGTTACTGGTCTATTGTTTGCAGATTATGTTTGACAGAATTTATTCTCATTTTATTGTGTTTTGTATTGGGATCAGAGCAACTTTTTAAAACTCAACTTTTCTATTTTGTATTTCCCAGCTGCTAAAGGTGGCGCGACCCAGTTGCCACATGACCTGTTCACTTGTTCCCCCATGTTTTATGTATGTTTGTTTTTTTGAATGGGTGTTCTTAACTTGAGAGTTGGACTCCGCCAAGGTTGCCCTTTGGCACTGATTCTGTTCATTACAGAATTTCTAGGRGCAGCCAAGGTGTTGAGGGGATCCATTTTGGTGACCTTAGGATCACATCTCTGCTTTTTGCAGATGATGTGGTTCTGTTGGCTTCATCAGATCCTGATCTCCAGSTCTCACTAGAGTGGTTCACAGCCGAGTGTGAAGRGGCCAGGATTAGGATCAGTGCCTCCAAATCTGAGACCATGGTCTTGAGCTGGAAAAGGGCAGGTTGCCTTCTCCAGGTCCCGGAGGAGGTCCTGCCCCAAGTGGAGGAGTTTAGGTATCTCGGGGTCTTGTTCATGAATGAGGGGAGAATGGAGTGGGAGATGGACAGGTGGATTGGTGCTGCGTCTGCAGTGATGCGGGCGCTATACCGGTCTGTCATGGTGAAGCGAGAGCTGAACCAGAAAGTTAGGCTCTCAATTTACTGGTCATCTACGTTCCTACCCTCATCTATGGTCACGAACTTTGGGTAGTGACTGAAAGAACGAGATCACAGATTAAGAGGCCAAAATGAATTTTCTCTGCAGGGTGGCTGGGCTCTCCCTTAGAGATGGACTGAGAAGCTCAGTCATCCAGGAGGGACTCAGAGTAGAGCTGCTGCTCCTCCACGTCGAGAGGAGCCAGTTGAGGTGGTTCATCTGGTTAGGATGCCTCCTGGACTCCTCCCTAGTGAGGTGTTCCGGGCATGTCCCACTGGGAGGAGGCCCAGAGGAAGACCCAGGACACGCTGGGCGGACTATGTTTCTAAGCTGGGCTGGGAACACCTTGGAGTTCCCCCAGAGGAGCTGGTCCAAGTGGCTGGAGAGAGGGAATTCTGGGTCTCTCTGCTTAGGCTGCTGCCCCCGAGACCCGACCCCGGATAAGAGGAAGAAAACGGATGGACGGATGGATGGGTGTTCTTGACTGCAATTTCATTCTACAGTGCATCCTTGATGTTGTGTTTGAATGCCAATAAAGAGGATCTCTATCTGTCTTCTTGCAGCATTTTGACTAACATCCTGGACGTCCATCAGAACATGGGTTACTGCCCACAGTTTGATGCCATCGATGAGCTGCTGACCGGCAGAGAACATCTGCACCTCTACGCWCGCCTCCGAGGGGTTCCAGAGTCTGAGATCAGCAGGGTGAGGAGGACCTCTCACTTTGGTAACAAACAGATACTGAAGGAGATGAATTATCTTACAATGYTCTGACCAGCTGTCTGGGAAGATCTGTGCTGGAGTCTGAAGACAGATATGGTTCTTCAGGACCAGGTGCTGCTTTAGGTTCTCAGTCATCCAAAAGATGGCAACTCAGGACGTTTTGCAACAGAAAAAACTGTTTCAAAAAGTCTTCAATGAAGAAAAAAACTCTATGATTGGACCAACTCAAAGGATACTTTAGGGTTTTTGATAAAAGGAATCATTTGTTTGTTGAATGACTGAATAAATATTCTGGTTCCTGTTGGTATGAAGGAGACTTGTTCAGAACTTTAAGGTCCTCTTCACATTGGAGGATAACTTTTTTACATTGATGGTGTTTTTAGGTCTAGTCAAGGTCTTTTCTTTCATGGGCAGAGCAGGATAATTCGTGGAGGGTTTTGAGCCCAGAACTTTACAAAACAATGGTTTATCTTTCTGGTAGCAGAGTATTGGTGTCCTGGGTAAAATGTTGGGGGGACGGGGGGCTGATGACAGTGTCTCTATGTGCAGGATTTGAGGCAGGACTGGCAGAGCTGTCCTCATGCCTAGACTGTGATAATGGTCATGACAAAGTGTTGGAGGTACAACTGGAACATGGAGCATGGTGAGGGAACAAGGGGGCGTTTTGAGGATGTGGAAAATAGCAGGAAACACCTTCCAGAACATCAACATGTTTGGACACAAACCAGCCATTATCTAATGATCGGTTAAAACTGTAGCTGGGCTTTAGACTCTACCAGGACTGTCCTTTTTCAGCCTCCTMGAGCTGGTATTTTAAGGACTGAATCTAAATGTGTAAAAAGACACATCTATCCCCCCCAAATGTAGGTGGCAGATTGGGCCATCCAGAAACTGGGCCTGTCGGAGTACGCGGGTCGAAGTGTGGGGACCTACAGTGGGGGTAACAGGAGGAAACTCTCCACGGCCATCGCCATGATCGGCTGTCCTGCTCTGGTGCTGCTGGTGAGTCCGACACCCCTGATGGGAGTCCAGGTTTATCTTCATTATCCAAATGTTCTGGTTAAAAATGGACTGAATCAGTGCTTACCTTCCTGCTTCAGGATGAGCCTACCACAGGGATGGACCCACTGTCCAGACGCTTTCTGTGGAACTCCATCATGGGTGTAATCCAGGAGAACCGAGCAGTGGTCCTCACCTCTCACAGGTAAACTCTAAATCAATGTTTGTGTGGATTAGAATTAGAAGAAGTATCGAGTCAATGGCAGGATGTTAAGATGAAGTGTAGATGTGGGTGTACCATGTTATGATG